TTGCATGTTTCTGCCTGGAATGCTTTTTTTGGCTGGTGACCAAATGCTAAATAATGAAGGGGTTTTTTTGCATAAGTTCACAGAGTTCGGCTTGCAGCAGGGGTACAGATCGCTGTGCAGGCTCCGAGCCCCTGGCTGAACAGGGTCTGTAAGCCTCCGCTACCCTTTTGGTGCATGGTTGGAAGAGCAAAAGGTTCTAGGTGTGAGAGCAGGTTTCACAGCTTCCAAAGGTTGATGCCCTAACAAAAGAACATAACTCAGAAGCCCTGTTTGCATTTTCCAGGTATATCAGCTGGTCTGATAAAATATATTTCCTCTCCTTAGAGACTTGGTTTCTGCCAGAGAGAAAGCCCAGGCTTCTATCAGGCATTCGCATCTTCTCCTAACCAAAATAAATAAATCAGGGCTAGTCTCTAACCTGCAAGCCCAGGTCCTAGGTATGCAACTGAAACAGCGCAGAGATTCCCAGCAAGAATCAGTGTGGCTATTGATGGGATTTTGGTAGTCTGACTCTGCCCGTGGGAGTTAGCCTTTTGGAAACCTATCTGTTCAGCCCTTCCAGATACCAGACTGCTGCCTGCCTCCGAGCAGTGTCACTGCTCCGTGTTGTCTTCGTGCAACATTATTACCTGCCCCGAGCTGACATCTTTCCCAAGGGATCCCACGGTGTGTGACAGGCAATCCCCCTTCCCTGGCACCTTGTGCTTTAGGGAGATGAGTATTATTAGCCCTGCTTTCCAGATGGAGAAATTCAGGCAAAAGTAAATAAATGTCTGGTTTGAATTCATTTAGTGAGTGCGTGGCAGAACTGAGGATAGCATCCAGGAGTCTTGGTATTTAACCCCTTCTTCTGTGGTAATCTAAGCTGACGGGGAGAGGACGGGAGTCCCACTTTACCCACTAAACAACCTGCCTTCTGTTCTAGAGCAGCCGCTGAGCTTAAGAGAAGCTGACAAGAAACACAAGGTTAACATGAGAGTTAACTCATAAGCTCCATCCACCAAATCCATGTTGTACTGATGGCTTTGATGGAGCAAAAATAATTTATAGCAGAGGAGGTCTTTGATCTTATGCTGAAACAGACAGTTGAGTCTCCTCTCCCACCACTGCAGAAATGGGGCTGAGATTCAACCTGTCTAGTGGCCGTTGCCACTGGAGTTTTCTATTCATGTCTCCTCAGGGTCTCCACTATTTAATTCTCTCTCTGGCTGCATCCAGTGCCTGCCCCATCAGCCACACCAGCAGTGGCAGGGATTCACAAGTGGAGAGGCCTTTCTCCAGAGCAGTGAAGAGCCTCTCACACAACTCATCAGCACAGCCCAGCAGTGGCTCCATTTTCTCCACTGGGCATAATCTGGCGTGCGAAAAAAACAGAAGAGGCTCCGTCTTGTTCTGCTTGACAAATCCCAATTTATTAAGCTATTTGCGGGAGCTGCAGGCACCTGCTGCTAGGAAAGCCAGCGTGCAGAGGGAGCCTCGTGCTCCGGGAGCAGAGCTCTGAAACCCGCATTAAGACCTGTGGACAGAAGGGAGTGCTGGCTACCGGCTTCCCCAGGGCAGCTCTCAGGTCTTGTCGCTATACAAATGTCCAGTCAGCACCAAACCCCTGCACTGTGTGTTAAAAGACCCGTCTATCTTTGAACAGAAAGCAGTGGAAACGCACAGTGACAGGCAGTGACCCCAAAAGTGTGCCCTCGGAGCGTGCTCAGGGTGCCAGGTGCCAGGAGCCTGGAGCCACCTCCAGTACGGAGATGCTGGACCCGGCGGCACAGGCGTATTCTTCATTCCCACAGGCACTCAGAGTCCCTTCAGTGCACATGCAGGCAGCCAGATGTTACCTCTGTAACCACATTTCTACACAGCCACAGATTCTTCCATATAAAGACATAGGCAGTCACTGCTGCATGTTATTTATGGTCTTTCACACACATATTCATACACGTAGAGCCACAGTGCTGCCTCAGTTGCACATACATTAGTTTTTTTCCCCGTAAAGAAATACCCACACGCTCCCTGAAAGAACCACAAGTGCTTCTTGTTCAGAACTAGCACCTGCATGGCCCCTCAGCCAGCCTCATCCCTCTTCTGGGCTCAGAGCACAAGTATTTGAGCGATAGCTACCTGGACATATTTGGGAGGGAGGGACAGACATCTTTTTCCTGCACATCTTCACTGGTATTGATTCCTGTATGAATACATTCTCTCTTATGCAGGCTTTCCTGCTCCTTAGCCAAGTAGAGCCTTTGCTGTCGGTTTATTCTCCAGAGTTTGAACAGTTGAGGTACCAGAGAGAGACATAACCCCGTGCCTGGCAGCGCTGGGTGTCCAGGCCGTCCCAGTGCTACTGCAGCCAGCGGCAGCCCAGCCGGTGACTTCAGGCTGGCCAGGATTTTGGAAAACACTCTTGGTTTCCCAAGCAAGACCCAGAGTACTTCCTATCAAAGGGAGGGTTCACACACTGCTTAAGGGAGTGGATTGTGCCACACAGCACGGCGTTGCTGTCCCGGAGAGCCGCTGTGCAGGCCTGGGCTGCAGACGGAGGGTCTGGGAGGATTCTCCGTACGGGGCAGCCCCGGAGGAGTTTGCTAGCACCCACCCAGCCGCTCGGCTGGCCTCCCCTGCGAGCATCCCCCTCTTAGGAGTGCAGGCACCACACTGCATCTACAGCAGGTACTTCCAGAGGCTGCTCAGGGACTGGCTCGCTCTCTGGAAGTGCCCTCTCCCTCCTGCTCTGAGAGGTCCTCAGCTCAGGCAGAATGCAGCCGGTGGGCTCAGGCGGTCGGTGCAGCCTGGGTGGCAGGGTCCGGCCTCCCGTCCCACCTGCAGAGACACCGCGGTGACAGTCCCAGCCGCCTCGTTTCCCCTTTGCTTCAGCAGGGCCAGGTTTCTCCTTCCCTCACTGAATGGTGGCGAGAGGGACCCTGAAAAGTCCCTGTGTCTGTCCCTAAGTTCCCCCAAAACCACATGCACAATCTCCCTGCTGACTCAGCTATGAATTACAGTGTTATTCAGTCCCATCGCTGATACTGCACCTTCACACCTGCTTGAAGGACCATACAGCATCCTGCTAACACTGCTGGGCATCTGCCCAACCTGCAGTGGGTTTACCGTTACAGAGCCACCTAGTCCAGCCTATTCCCAGTCCCTTCCCAGCAGCTCCAGCCGTGTTGGCACAGCCGATGCAGTCTGGTCAGAGCAGGCAGCTCCACTATCATTTGGACTTGGTCATGGTTACTTCTCTTCCAGGTCCTGGCTCAAAAAGTACAAGTTTCAGTTCAATCCCCATCAGCTGGGCTCAAGCGTAGGTTTCTGCTCAAGCACATGCTTCAGTGCTGCCTTGAACCGGGGCCCCAGTCCAGGAGAGCCATTGACCCAGCCTGGTAGAACATGAGGCGGCAGGTAAAATCCTTCCAGCCACGGAACCTGTCTGTCTAACAGTTTCTCAACTCTGATCTGTGGCCCCAGAGGGGTGTGAGCTGCTTGTAAGAGTCACGCAAGACAAGCAGGCCTGCTGTTGAGAAACACACGCTGTACAGTCTACGTTACTACTGGAAAATTTGGAAGGAGCACAAATCAAAGGAGATTTGTACCACTTGCTGTGTACCTCTCACATCCACCTTTCCACCTAACTTTTCCCATCCATAAATTTATCTATAGATTCATCACAGGTTTAGTGTCTCTTTACCACTAGTACTGTCTACCATGTCTAATCTTTCTCTTACCGTATCTAATCTTTCTCTCATCGTGTCTCTTTACCTGAGCATTTTCAAGGCACCAAACCCCAGCTTGCAGACAACATTTATTCACCACACCCGTGTCTCTCTCTGGTTCTGGAGGAGCCAAGAGATGAATGGGAGGGAGCTGTGAGATGCCAACATATAGCTAAGCACGACCTGGGCTTTCAGTCCACTTTTAGGCTATTTCTGTGCCCTAGTAACCCCTGATCCATCTGCACTTTGCCATGCTCCGTGATTCAATTAGCCTCTAAATTAAATTATGCTTGGCGCTCTGGACCCTGTTAGCTCTCCAGATCCTAAACTGATAAAGCTGGGCCAGGCAGCCACGCATCTGAACACCGGGCTGCCCTGCAATGCCCGTTAGAGGGTAACCTCCACTTATGGGAGGAAACTGAGACCCAGATCCGTATTTTTACCCCAAATGTCCTGTCCTCTCTAACACCAGCCCGACTCCAAACAGCCCTTGTGCCTCTTCTTGGGGGCACAACTCTCTCTAGTGCTAGCAATGACTTTTTAAAGGGTAATCAGAGGGAGGAGTACTCTTGCCTGGGGATTTCTTCCTGATGAATTTATCAAGACAAAAACTAAGAGGAGAAGCTGTGCAAGGACAGCTGGATCCCAGCCTGCCAGAGCCTGCAACGCTCGGCCCGAGAGTCACATCCAATTAAGTCTAATGTAAACACTACATTAAAGCCCCAACCCCAGCCTATGTTGAGCGGAGACGAGGGGGAGGAGAGGGGGGACATGTTTTTCAACAAGGTGGTTAAATTTCCCTGTTTTCCTCCTGCGAGGTGGTTCAGGGGATAAAAAATGCAAGAGATAAGGGACCCGTAAATGGCTCGATTCCAGTTGGGAGACCACAGTTATTTCCAAATAGAGCAGTGCAGCAGCTGGGAACAAGACCACTGTCGAACTTAATGACAGAGGACAGGCACAGAGGGAAGCTGGCATTGCCGTTTCACCGCGGCGGCAAGAAGGATGAGGGGTTTAACTCTCGCTAAGTGAATCCTTTCATGTGTCCAGTGCCGGGAAAATGTCTCCCAGCCCGAGCTGGCTGGGAGAGTCGCTGTCGGAGCTGACACACCGACCCAGGCCAGGTTTCTCCGGTGCCGATTTGGGGCGAAGAGAAGCCCCCGAGAAACCTCCTCAAGGCAGGCTGGCGATGGAGGGGCGCTGGGAAAGGCTGGGGCTGCTCAGCGTGTGCTTTTCATATGCAAAGGGCGAGGAAGGGGGGATGGGAGAGGAAAATGAAACCGATCCTACCTCCTTCTCCGAGATGTAAAGCTGATCTCCCTTCAAAACCACATAACGGTTTTTCCAGATTTCCCTAAAAATGCCTTTCCCGCAAAATTTCCGCACCCAGCCGACCTTCTCTGGCTGCACAGATTGCTGGTTTCCATCCTGTTGCCCCTAATACAAAGAGAGAGGGAAGAAAATGGGGGAAAATGGCATTATTCTTGGGTTTACACTCCTCTTCTCCCCCCCTCCCTCTTTGCCCAACTTTCGCCTCCCCTTCCCTCCGGCCCCTCTCTCCACCGAAGCTGGGACCGAGGTACTTTGCTCGATTCACTCCACATAGATTTTTCTGCTGCAGACATGAAGCAACAACAATAATACCGAGGGCACGATGCAAAAATCACGGGCAGGGTTCCACTCTGTGCATTATATAAGAAAGGCTGTTACGTTATATTCGCCTCATACAACGTGCATTTGCACATGGAAAGAGGAACAAGAGGGTGTTGGGGAGAATTTAAACCAGCTGATTTTTTTTTTTTTTTTTTTTTTTACTGCAGTGAAAATTGCATTTTTGAGCCTTTTATGAACAATTAATCCTAGAGGCGAAATCTATGTATGGGTTTATATTTAAGATTTCTGCAGAGGCAGCGATAAGATCTCTGGGCACAGCAGCCACACACATACGGCACAGAGCAGACAGGGAGACAGATAGATGGTGTCTCTGTATTTTATCGTTTCCTTGTGATCAAAAATGAAAACTGCCTGCCTACATCGCTCTGCACTAAACGGCGAATAGTATCTCCTGGTGAATTGAAGAGGAAGGAGAGGCGCTGGGCAGTAAGGAGAGAAGGAGAGACGGGTGCTGGGTTTGGTTTTGTTTTGATCTGGTTGGGGCTTCTTTTTTTTTTGCAAGGCAAGGGCAGGGGGAGCAGAGGCAAAGCGAACAACTGGAAATCAAGCCCCCCTCCCCAAAACATCCGGCAGCCTCCCCCACCCCGCCGTGCCCCCAAGAAGAACCGATTCGACTCACCCTTTTTGCAGAATTATTTTTTTTCATCATTCCTTGGTGTGCTGCGCTGGAGGGAGACTGGGGGGGGGGATCAGAGAGGGGCTCCCGGCGGCCTCCTCTTGGGGAGAGCGTGGCTGGGAAATACACAGGGTACCTCCTCTTACTCCCTCTCTGTCTTCACCCTTTGGAGATTACAGGAGCTCTCTAGTTACATTAAGACCAGCCCGCCTCTGTAATACATCCTTAGCCATACAGACACAGCATCCCCCCCCACCAACCGGCACCACCACCACCATCACTGAGCTCTCGTGGGCTTGCACTGGGCTGGCCTGGGCTCCCGAGCTCCATCTATAGCCGTGCGCGTATGACGTCTGGAGTTCACAATAAAGGGCGAATCGCAGCCCACGAGGGTTTTTCTTCTTTGTTTCTGACTCACTGCTGCTGATGCGAGTGGCTGGATGCGTGTGTGTGGCTGGGCGCGAGTGTGTCGAGGCTGGGGTCAGCGGCGGGGACGGGAGCAGACAGCACATTGTCCGATGTCCCCCCCTCCCCGCCAGCGTCCGAGCCACATTCCTGGCTGTGTCACAGGTCACTGCAAAACTTCCTGGGAGACGGAAAAGCTGCCAGGTGGCACTGGGAGGGTTTTCTGCCAAGAAAGTGTCTGAGTGTTTAGAAGTTTAAACAAAAGCACTCTGCAGCGAGGAGCGGGGAGGAGGTTCCCTGGGGAGGGGGCCAGGCTCGCTTCCCGGCAGCGAGGGTCTGCTAGCAGGGACTTACACTGCCAGAAGACACTCGGCTTCAGAGCACAGCTTCCCAAAAGTGAGGAGATGCCTGGCTTCTTAAAAAAATACCCTTTTCCTGCTTATTATTTGGTCTTCCTCCTGTACATCCTGCAAGTCCAGAACTATCTGAGCACGGGACTGAGGTCATAGACTGGCTTTATGAGGGAGATGCATAAAAGAGTGAAAAACAGAGAAGGGAGGAAGTAGTTCTGCTCAGAATTACATCAAGAAAGAGATTGATAAAGCATTGATCAGTTGATCAGTTGCTTCCTTTACAGTGAAAACCTTCCATCCAATCCTTAGTCTGGCACACACCCACACTATGGATTGTAGACTGTATTTTAACCCAAGTACTTTGGAATTAATGCGTTGAGAATACTGATGATGTACTTGTGCTGCTAACATCTTTTAAAACATTATATGCTGGAAGCAAAAGCAGTGGTTGAGCTCTTGGATTAGAGAGTACTTTCAGAGCTTTTGTGAGTGAGGGGCTGGTGGGTTCGTACCTTTTTCAAGTGCTGGCATTTTTGTAGTGCTCTCCCGTTTGTGGCGTGAGCTGTGGGATGCACTGAATGCCCGGGACAGTGCAACGAGGTACCGTCTAAACCAAACCCACCCTCCCAGGGGCTCAGAGCAGGGATTGCCTTTTCCTTCTGTGCCTCTGCAGCCCCGCACTCCGGGCAGCCTGGAAATGGGAGTTGCCATCTTTGTGCCTCAGTTTCCTTTTTTGTACCACGAGGATAATAATTTTTTTACAATTTTAGCGTGGCGTTGAGAAGTGGGTAAATGCTTTAGTGTTGCTGCTTTTCAGCAAATTCAGCAGTGTCAGGTGCTGGTCTGTTCTGCTTGGGAAGCACTGGGTGAGGTGGGTACGGCTTAGATTCCTCCTGCAGAGTGGGGAAGAACCACAGTGATGGCACGTGTCCCACGAGGGCTGCGGGGGCCCAGCAGTGACACCCACCCTGGGCAGCTGCATTACGGCACGTGGGCACAGCGGGAGAAGCAGGGGAGGAGTGATGGCAGAGGGATGGGGATGAGTCCCGCTCACAGCAGCAAAAGTTGAGCGCCTGAAGCCCCCGGTGCGGTTTGCAGGGTCTCTTACGGCACGATGGAGTGTGCCAATTTATACTTAATAACATTTTGCCTCCCAACTGGACTTGTTATTCTTCACGTCCTGTTTTCAGCAGCCAGGTCCTCCGGAGCACCCCCGAGGTGGCCGCAGATGGCACGATGCTGGCGGCAGCGGGAGAGCTCTGTCCTGCCCTTTGAAGCAAGACTCATGCTGGTCAGGGCCCACCCTCCTCCCCAACGGCCTCCCCGCAGGGCTGTCAGGACAGCCCAGCACTCACAGTTACGGGCTATTTCCACCAGTTTAACATAGATCTCTGCCTACAATTTGTCCCGGGGTTGTGTTTGGGGTTTTATCGAGGGATTTATGTGCCGAAAGACTTCCCATTGGGTGCCTCCTGGGAATTTTAAGGGTGGATGGAGACGATGCCTCACACCCACTGAAATCCCATTTAAGAGTCTCTATCATGCCTTAGCTGTACACTTCCCACAGCCATATGCCCAGTCACTGGTGCAAAATTCCTCATTGTCCCATATGAATTTTTAAACCAATACACGGCATCCGAAAGTTTGCCACAGACGGGATTTTGGCTGTCACCTCTGTTGCCTTTACGAAAGCAGCCGCCTGCCATCATCGCGACATGGTGTGTCCCCGCAGTGTGGGCTGGTGACATAAAACTTGTTGTCGTCCAGGTGCACGCTGCCGGCGGGGAGCTCTGGGTGGCACAGCGTGGTCAGGGTGCCTCGGTGGCTCCCAATAAACAGCCCTTCCCACTCCCCCAGCAACAGGAAATCAATTTATCCAGGCAGTGTAAAAGGGGCTTTGAAGAAAATATAAAAAGCGTTCGACATTATCGATCTCTGTGGCACATCTAAGTCTGTTCTGGTCCTGGGGGAGTGTGCAGGGCTCCGTGCTGGAAGGGGCCATCCCTTTCCTACACGAATCACAAAGATGAGGACATACAATGGCCAAGCAGCGCTGGGGGTGGCCAAGCTGGGGCTTGAGCCCCTTGGGAGCCCTCCAGGAGACGGCTTGGATTTCCACGGGCGCTCGTGGCCCTTTGCACCACTCACCCCGCAGAGCTGGGCTCTCGTGCCGTGCTAAGGAGCATCCCTGGGCAGGGTGCCTGGGTGCCAGGGAAGTCCCCGTGTAACCACACCAGATAAAGCACCTGCGGACACGTCCCGAGGAGGAGGAATTTAGCTCAAGCTGAAATCCTTGGGCTGTTTTGGAAAACACAAGGGGCGTAGCTGGTTGAACAAGCCTGCAGGCAGTAGTATGACAGTGACTCATGTTGGTAAAGGATGTGACCAGTGATTCAGATCTGGAAACATCAACAATTTATATGGAAGGAAGGGAGATAGGAGCAAGTCCAGCTCCAATTTCCGTCCTTGAAACAGGCAGCCACGCTCCCAGCAGTGGAAGTGGCCCCTGGACATTGCTCACGTTGGATTTACTGGGCTGGGGAAGGTGGCTGGGAGGGATGGGGCTGGTGGCACATGACGTTGTCAGTACGGCTGTGCAGCTCCCCCTCCCATCCCCATCCCCATCCCCGTCCCAGCTGAGGTGAGCCCTCGTTGTCCTGTGATTTGCATTCATGGAAACCACAGTAAATATGGCCTGGTGCCCACAGACACAAACAACTCCCGATGAAATCAGTGGATCTCACATACCGGAATAGCTAATGGAAGAATTTAGTCTTTTATTAGCTGCTAATTAACTCAGACCATAGTTTAACAACCTTTGTGTAGACTGTATTCTGGGGTGATTTGTTTTCCCAGTTTGTATTTTCAGTAGCGGTGTATTTTCTATTGTGGTTGCAGGATATATCAAAAGTACCTAATAAATAACACCGCAGGAAAAAGCAACTTGCAGCCCAGAGCTGGGAGCAGCCACCTGGCCGTGAGCAGGGAAGACTGAACCAGAAATGTTTAGATTATAATGTTACAAAACCGGCGATCACTTCTTTAGTATCTTCTTGCGGTAGCTCTGAAGAGTCCCTGTCAGGATGCAATTTTCGGGCTGTGAGCATTGCCAAGCGACTTCAGTCCCGGGGCTCGGTGCTGGACGCGGGGACGTGCAGCACAGCGTTTCCACCAGCCCCTGCCCTGCTCCAGGACTCCTCCACGCCACACAAAGTGGCCCAAAGTCTCCACCTTTTGCTTTGTATGGCTGTAGTCTAAAAAACTGGTTCCACAAAGGCTCTCTGTGCTACTCTGCCGGCGCAAAGGCCTTTGAATCTGGGCACAAGGAGTTTGTTGCGGTGGCAGGGGATGGTGCACCATCCTTTGCAGGGGGGACACGAGCCTGGGGCTGAGTTCCCATGCCACGTTTCACTCGCAGCTGACTGTATTTTCTCTAAGGCAGCAGGGAACAATGGACTTGCAGGGAATTGCTAATATCACGGCTTTGAATTTTGTTACACAGAGCACAAAAATATCATTGTTTTTAAAAGAGGGGGGAGGGCATAACAGGGAGGGAAAGGACCTTGAAAATGTGGGCAAAATGAAAAGAGAACCTCTCTCTAAAGTTATGTTTATGTCCTCCTGCTTACTGTCCTCAAACATCCTATTTGCTCTGTTCAGCCCTGATGTTGCAGTTTTGCTCCCCTATGATGTGTTGATTCATAATAAACAGTTACCGAAATATCTTCTTGTTGCAAAAGCAGAACAACAAACACTCTCAGTTTATTTATGTATTTAACACACCCCCCCAACCCGCATAATTTTGCTTCTGGATATCAAGTGTGAAACTGCTGCTTAGAAAATGAATTGAGTTTAATTAGGACATGTGTTTTGCCTTGTCTCTGAAGATAATTACAGCACTATTGTCTGGGAAAGGGGTCTGCTTGATGAGAGAATTTACCCCTCTGGAAAGGCCCAGGCTGGGGACCGCCTAAGCTGCCTTTAGGGGCCATGACTCAGCTCTCCTCTCTTCTCTACAAGATTCTTTCAGGGTCTGGTGGCTCAGGTTGGCAGCAAGATCTGAGTCACCTGCTGTAGAAGGACTCACTCAAGGCTCTGCCCCATTCCCAACAACTTAACATTTATTGTATGGGGCAGGGAAGGGGTGGGAGAGGCAGGGGAGAAGC